TTTTTGTTATTCTATGTTTTTAACTCGCGCTAGGCGCGAGTTTGTATTAGCAGTTTGGTTTAATTCTTTTTTTAGTTATTTAGTTTTTAAATTATAGAAACTATAATAGATATATAAAATTTTCTTTTTTATATAAGAGAATTTAAAATACAACATGTAGTTTTCCCCAACTTTTTGTTTATAAAAAATTAAATCTTACTAAATAAAATAATAACAATGACGCTTATCAAGTTATCCAATTTTGCCATGCAAACACGTTTGATTTAGATAATGGTTTCTTTGCTAAGATCTTGGTGTTTGTTTAATTTCCATAGAAATTCTACATTTCTTTTTTTCTGTAAGGTTTATATATTAAAAATTTAATTTTTTGCTTGAATATCTCATTGATGTTGTGTATCTATGCATATATTAATTCATGATTCATGTTGATTCACATTTAGTTTTGTTAGAAACTGCAATGATCGTACAAAGCCGTTTCTTACTTCTCCATCATGTCTTCCATGAGTTTTATTTTTATATCTTTATTCAGTTTATCATTGAAATTTGTTTTTGGCAGTCTAATATTTGATAATTCTAGTTTTAAAACTTGTAGGATGGATGGTGTGCAGTCTTTATATTTATTTTACTGTTTTTATTTTCTGTGTGCTTTCTATATATTTTGATTTGAATATTTTATCTAGATATATCAATTTGGGTTTGATTCTTAACTCTATCATATTTATTATTTAAATATAATTTTAGAAGGTGTTACTGATATGTTATTAATGTTGGCTCAGATATAAGTAGTAGATATATATAAAAATCAGATTTTACTGCTTGTTAAATTTTGAGTGTAAAGTTACTTATATAGTATTTTTGTTAGTTTTTAAGTTAGAAGTACTTACTATATTAACTTTTGTATATTTAAAGAATATGTTTGATTAAAAAAATTATGTAAACTTATTGCAACTTTATATAGTTATTAATTGTAGATACCAATACTTTAAAAACATTTTAGTTTACATCTTTTGATAGTAAATTTATTTTTTATTTTAATCTATATAATTTTTTTTTGTATGTTTGTTATACTTAGGATTTTTTTTTATGATTAAACTTTTTGGTTGTTGATTCTCAAAATAGCTAGCATAGATATCAAGTTAATTTATTTTACTTGAATGCTTTTTCTTTTTAAAATTTTCTATTTTAATATTAGTTTTTATTTTAGTTATAATGTTGATTTGACATACTATAACTGTTCATTTTAAATCTAATATCGACATCTCTCAAAATATTACTGCATCATTTGTTTTTGTTTTTGTTTTTAAAGTTTTTAATGTTAGTTTTTAAAAATGTTAGCCTACATATTAAGTTAGTTTTTAATGCCTTTTTCCGTTGTTAGTTTACTTTTTTATATTGATTCTTATTAAATTTTGAAACATAATTTTTATGTAAATGTTGACATTTTTACAGACAATTTTCTTTTCTTTTTTTATGTTAATGAGACTTTTTATATTAACACTTTTTAATAGTTACCACATATATCAAGTCAAATTTTTTAGATGATAGTTTTAATATTTGTTTTTGTTATTAATACCAATTTTAAAATTATTAACATTTTGTAAAACATCATTTATATTTTATTTGTTTTCGTTCATTTTTATATTAATTTCTTAAATAGTTTGTTTAAAGCTTTATTTTTATATTGGTTTCTTAAATAGTTAGTTTAAAGCTAAATTTTAAAAAAAAAATTAGTCATTTAAAGTATATATGTTTAAAAAATTCTTTTGTTAATTTAAATTTATGGTATTAATTTTTATGTTAATTTTTAAAAAATGTTAGCCTAAATATCAAGTTTTTTCCTTTGTTAGTTCACTTTTTTTATATTGATTCTTATTTAATTTTTAAACATAATTGTTTTGTAAATATTAACATTTTTACAGTGAATTGTTTCCTTTTCTGTTAATGAGACTCTTTTATATTGAATTTTTAAATAGTTAGCATATATATCAACTCAATTTGTTTTTCAATGATTTTTTAAATATTTGTTTTATATTAATTTCAATTTTAATTGTATTAACATTTTCTAAAACATAATTTACATTTTATTTGTTTTTGTTTATTTTTATATTACTTTCTTAAATATTTCTTTTACCGCTTTAGTTTTTTTAATAGTTAGTTTAAAGCTAAATTTAAATAATTTTTTCATTTAAAGTATATTTAAATTTATTTTGTTAAATTTACTTTTTCGTTATAGATTTACATATTTGTTTTTTTATTGGTTTAGGTTTTGTGACATTTAGTTTCCAATTTATTTTGACAAACGCTATAAATATGGATTTCTGACATAACTTCTTTTATCTGTTTTGTTAGTTAAACTTTTTTATCTTTATTTTCCATTCTACCATGATGTTTTTCCTTTTTTGTGTATTTTAATTTATTCAAATTACTAATCATATTTAACATTTTTTGTTTAATGAAAATTGTTGATGTAGACTAATCAGATCGAGTTTCTTCGTCCTATGTGAATGTCATCAATGCACTATACCATCAACTTTTATATAGTATAGAAGTAAGCCAAAAAAGAAAATAATTAACTTAAAAATATAATTTATTACAGAAAATGATGTGGACCAATGAAATGAATATTTTTATAATTTTTATAATCTAATAATATGTTAATTTTCTATTTATTTTCAATAGAAAAATAAGATCTAATTTCCATATATTTTAAACTCATTTTTATTAATAATTATCTAAAAATTTAGAAACTTTCTCAATAACAACAAAAATAAAATTAATTAAAATTGAAAAAGTTTACTAATAATAATAAAAACGAAATTAATTAATTTTAATATATATATAATTAACTATAAATGATGATGTGTACCAATAGAATTGAATCTTTTAAATCCTATGTGGACACCCTTAGAGGTATTTAGCATCAACTTTTATTAGTAATAGACTAAGTATATAATTCGCGCTACGCGCGAGACTGTACTAATATTTTGGTTTAATTTTTTTAGCTACTATCTTTAAAATTATTAAAAATATAATATATTTATATAAATTTTCATTTATATAAGAGAATTTAATATATAATGTGTAATTTATCCTATTTTTATTTATAAATTTTAAAAAACTATTAAGTAAAATAATAACAATGATATCTATCGAATTATCCAACTTTGACATACATATACATTTGATTTAGAGAAATATAATCTTGCTAAGATTTTGGTATTATTTTCTGTTTTCCATATAATTTCTTTAGCTCTTTTTCTCTTGAAGGTTTATGTGTTCAAATATTTACTTTTTATTAAAAGTCTTATTGATGTTGTGTACCACTGCATATATAATCTATGATTCATGTTGATTCGCATTTTATTTTGTTAGGAAGCTGGAATGATCATGCAAAACCATTTTTTCCTTCTCCATCATGTCTTCCAAGAATTTTATGTTATATTTTTATTCAGTTTTTATTATTTTAATTATTAAATCGAGTTGTTGTAGATGTTTGTAAATTGATAATGGTTACTTTTTTTTAAACATGTATTGTTAATTGTTAATTTTTTTATTTAACTTTTAAAATTTTAAACCATATTAATATTTTCTGATTTAATAAATATGTTGATTTGGATCAATCAGATTGAATTTTTTTTTTGTTAGACATAATTTGTTAAATTAACTTTTAATGTTTTAATTATACTTAATAATTTTTGGGTTGATTAAAAAGCTGATGTGGACCAATTAAATCAAGTTTTTCCGTTCTAATCATACTTAACATTTTTTATTTAATGAATATGCTGATGTGGACCAATCAGATCGAGTATTTTAATCTCATGTGGACGCCCTCAATGCACTATGCCATCAACTTTTATATATTATTATATGATTTCTTAAATAGTTATTCAGATATCAAGCCAACTTCTTTTTAGATGATTTGTTTTTATTTAACATTTTTAAAACATAATTTTTATTTTATTTTTTGTTAATTTATTTTTTAATATTGATTTTTTAAATAATTAGCTTAAATTTTTATCTTCTTTTTTGTTAGTTAAAGCTTTTATATTACTTAAGTTTTTTTCTATTACTCAAACTTTTTATATTCATTTTGTTAAATAACTAGTATACATATTAATTTAATTTTCTTTTTAATGTATTTTTCTTTGTTAATTTAACTTTTTGATATTGATTTTCATTTTAATTATATTAAAATATTGTAAGAAATAATTTATGTTTTTTTGTTAGTTAAACTTTTTTATATTGAGTTCCTTAGTAATTAGCATAAAGCGTTATTTTTTAGTTAGTTAAGTCTTTTGTGTTGATTTTTAAAAAGTTGGGCTAAATATCAAGTTTAGATGACTTTTTCTTTTGTTAGTTTAACATTAATGATTTTTTAGTATTGAAAATTTTAAATAATAATTTTATATAATGATTTGATATGTTAATATAATAATTTTACCTTAATATATGTATAATATCACATGATTATATAACAATTTAACCTTAAAAGTTTTGCTAAATTTAAATAAATTATTTACTTAAAATATATATGTTAAATATTTTCTTTTGTTATTTCGTTACTGATTTATATAGATTTTTTTTGGTTAGTTTAGCTTTATGATATTGAACTTTTATTTTATTTTTTGTGTTTAATAAAAACGCATATATAGACCAATTGGATCGAGTTTCTTTGTCATATATAGACGTTCGCAATGGTTTAAAACATCAACTTTTATATATTATTGATGTTGGCTTATCTGAGTGTATATATATTATTTATTGTAGCTGTAATTTTGTAGTAACTTTAACTTCGATTCTAGTGAAATTGTAGCCCGGGAAAATGGTTGTAGGCTTATAGCTTTGATGGATTCTAAAACAGATTCTTTTTTCGTTAAATTTATAATAATAATATATGTTCTTACTGTTATTATTTTTTTTTTATCAAAATATGTTCTTATTATTATATATTTTAATATGCAATTAAACACACATGCTATTACATTCTTTAGAAGGAAAAATACCCGTAACAAAAATTTCTCTAATTTACTTAATAATCAATTGTTTACAATCACAAAATGTGCCAGAAGTTAACGACTGAACTACAAAACCTATATTTTTGGATTGTTTAAACAAAAACGACCATTTGCATTTTCACTTTCTCATGCGGCCGCTAGATGTAATCAACATCACTAGGCCACTTTAGTTTCACTTTTCAAATAAACAATAAAACCCACATTGATCTGCATATCTACCTGGATCACATATAAACCCTATTTTTCCGTTTTCGTAATAAACTTCTTTAATCAGCAAAAACAGCCAAAACACACCAAGCAAATCTCAGATCTTTCATGGACCACTTCTCTTGCAGGAGTACAAACAAGATGGCCAGAAGGACCCACGTTGTTGTCGGTTTCACACCGTGTTGTTTCTTCTGTGTCATGGAGGAAAAAGACCCTTGTGTTAGAAAAGCATGGTTAGAGTTATCTCTGAGAGATATGCACATGTCAAGAGACGACACAGAGCTCGCTCTCACCCTCAGTTTCATCTGGAGATTGGCCATGGCCGACCCAGAGAACTCCGAGTTACCATCTCTTGGGGTCTTTGAGTGCATGACAAAGTTGTTGAAGAAAGGTCTTGAGGATGTAGAATGGGTAATGACTGGCCAAAATGTGTATGCTCCTTACTATGCAGCTCATATCATTGGATCTTACACCATGAAGAAAACTGAGTTTTCTGTGAAAGCTGTGGATTCTGGGGTCATAGCTCCATTGGTTGAGCTTCTGAGAGGGAAAATGAGTTGGGTCGAGCAAAGAGTCGCGGTTAGGGCGTTAGGTCACTTGGCGAGCTACGAGAGCACATTTGGGGCAGTGGCTGCTTATGAGGATGAAGTGGTGAGTTTAGCCATGGAGATTGCAACGACATGTGTTGATGTTGTGTACGAAGAGTTTGTGAGTGTTCAAGAAAGAGAAGGAAGAGTGAAGTATCATAGTGACTTGCTTACTAGAGGACTTGGAGGGTTAGAGATGGAAGATCGAAAAGCCGAGGAATGGGCAAGCCAGCTTCAATGCTGGTCACTTCATTTACTCAATTGCTTTGCTTACAAGAAAAAGTCTATTTCTCTTATTTGCAACAAGAGCTTTCTCAAGAAGCTTAGCAAAATGTGGGGTGGATTGGTTAACCACACCTCTCCCGCGAGCATTGGTCTAATCCGGATTCTTTGTTATACTAAACAAGGGCGAGGGCATGTCTCGAATTCGAGAGAAATTATATTGACTCTATGCAATCTCTCCAGATCTTCTGATGATTGGCAATACATGGGTATAGATTGCCTTTTGCTTCTTCTCAAAGACCAAGAAACAAGGTACAAAGTCTTAGAGACATCAGTGTTTTATCTTGTAGATCTTGTTGAGCTTAAATCCCTTAGCGATAGACCAAACCTAGGTGACAGAATAGCTAGGGTTCTTCTAATGCATTACAATACAAAGAAAGGTTGTGTTTACACTCACAAGATACAAAAGGCTTTGAAAAAACTATGGAAGATTAAAGTAGAGAGGAGAAAGAGGGAAAGGCAGTTGATGAGTGGTAATCAAGAAAAGCTATCAGAGACTAGTGTTATTGTGAATTTGATTAAGCAGCAAGCAAACCAATTGCTTTGTGTAGGAGACCTAGAGGGAGCTATTAAATGCTACATTGAAGCAATAAGCTTATGCCCTTTGAAACTTAGGAGAAAGAGAATGAGTCTATATAGCGATAGGGGAGAGTGTTACTTACTTCATGGAGATGTAGACGCGGCCATAAGTGATTGCACAAGAGCTCTTTGCTTGTCTGAACCAGTGAACTCGCATGGTAAGAGTCTTTGGACAAGATCAAGAGCTTATGACATAAAAGGGCTATCAAGAGAAAGCTTGATAGACTGTATCATGTTTGTCAATTGCCGTTTCTTGCGTGGCAAAATCCCTTACTACGCTGCTCAAATGATCAGCAAACAGATGGAAGCCACGTGGCTGTTTGAAGAAGCTAGAGCATTGAGGCTTCAACATATGATGCTTATGGAGAAAAATCACTTAACCGGTATGTTCAATTTCTTATATATATGCACATGAATATAAGTTTTATGATCTCTACTAGATAAAAATGAAATAAAATACATTGTTTTTTTTTTCAAGGCTTGTCGACGATCACAGAAGAACCAGGGAAGAAGAAAGAATGATGATGCAAAGGAAGAAACCTATCCCTTGGACTGATCAATCAATGTAGCATCATCTATTGTACCTCATAAGCAAGTTTTTTTTTTTTCGTTTTGAATTATAAAGATTTGTAGTTTTGTGATGGATAAGTATGGGAGTTTATCAGCATGTAGTCTCTGGAGTTACTAATATTATAGTGTGAACACTTTTTCTAATTGAATTTCTTAATCATAGTATATCCTTATCGTATGAAAATGGCTTATTGATCTATAGATAAGATCGAATCCTCAAATATTCTGAAAACTTACGATAAAATTCTATACAATAATATTTGAAATTCGTGTCTTCAATATACTTACGGGTTCTTACGAGTGACAACGTTGTTTTGTTGGCATTGGATAAAGTGAAATTGAGTATTTTATGTGAAGAAGTAAATGGGAAAGGTGTGAAACGCAGAAGGTGGGGAGGACCACAAAACCACATTAAGGCCCGCGTGATCATTCTTTTACTTTGAATATATGGTGTAGTGTAGACAATTTCACGAGTTTTCGTATTTTATTCGGACTAAACTATATATTTTTATACTTTATTACCATAAGTATCAATAAGAATAATGAAGTCATGGCAACTACAATACAATTAAAAATTTGCGATTATTACTATACGAAAAGTTCTAGCTCCAAACCAAAAGCATGTTGTCTCGTGTGGGTCGAGGACTCTGTATGTGGACTAATGGTCAGAGATCGAATTTTACCTATTAGGGAATAAATGTCCCACACATCTACGGAAATTGATGTTGTTCCCTCTTGCCTCATTGTAAACGTGTACGTTCTACATTTTTTTAAGGATCAGTTTAAGTTTGAACCATAGTCTACTTCTGTTATTAAAATTAAAACATGAGCTAAGTGCTACGAGCAGAGCAGGGCCGTTCTTTTAGCATGGGAAAATATAGCAGCGGAACATGGTCTCAAATTATTTAAATAAAATTTCTTAAGAAAATTTATAAATCAGGGCCCCAAATTTTTCTAAAAACTTGTTTATCGTAATGAACAAAATGTTGGCACAAAATCATATAATTGGGGCCTCAAAATTATCAATTCATTGTCAAATCTATATTTTTATCAACACATAAATTACAATCTACACATTTTGCCGCCATTGAGTTCATATGAATCCAACACGAATAAACAGACGCATGGTACTATAAATAATCACTTGTGTCTTGACGCTAAAAATTTATCATCAGAAGCTAATAAATATAAATGATTCTGTTGATAATTAAGCGCTCTATTGAATTAATCGATACATTAGAGTGGATTTAGACATCTGAGGCTCTCTTTCAAGAACAGCAACCACATCCTTCACAGAGATTGTCCTCACCACTTTTGGTTGTAGCGACGAACCTTGGTTCTTCCCTAACCTTCGACCACCTACAAACACGAATCCAAACCCTATTAACAAAACCGTGAGGAACTAAACTCAATAACTGCAAGATTTAAGACCAACAAAAGCCACATCACAATTATACTCTTAACATTTCCTAAGACTAGAGAGAGCTCTCTATGGTTAGGACGTTTTGGGCCAAAACCCATAATTCCCCAGAGCCTTTTCGATCCGGTGACCTCTAGGTTTTCCTTTTGGTACATTTTCAGCTGAGCTAACAGACACTTGGTGACTAGAGAAAACTTTGGAGGAGGGTTTACCGCTTTTTTGATGTTTTATCTTGTTCTTGATTCTTTACTCCTAACTAAAAAGCTGTAAAGATAAAAAAAAAAATGGGACTCACCAGCACCAGAAAACCGTCGTCCACCATCTTGCCTGTCCTTGGAGTTTCTTCCTCCACTTGAATTAGCTTTCTGATTCCCATCTTTACCAGCTTCAGATACAGATTTCTGACGAGCTTCTGCCATTAATTGCCATTTTAAAAACGTATCATCTCCTCCTACAGCAGCACGAGCAGCAACATTTGCAGCTGTAGTTCTCATTTTGTCGTCGTCCTCTTTATTTCCCTTCACATATCAAAAACCCACTTTTCAAAGAAAAGTTGCAAAATGTGGCTCCACAAAATGTATTATCAGTTTCTCCATACCTTCACACCCTTTGAACGGTTATCTTCTTTCTCCTTCTCACTATCAACTCCACCATCGCCTTCTTCACTCTGTAGCAAATTACACAATATCAGTGTGCTGTAGTAAAATTAAGAATATGGGTAATGAGCTCAGTTACAGACCTCGCTAGGTTTCTTAAGCTTTTCTGCTTCAGCCTGTTTCTTCTCCCATTCCTCTTTCACCTTCTGATTCATTTCGTTGATCTGTAGCCGAATATCTGACGTGATAAAAGTCCGGTGTCTAGATTTCTCAGTATCAACCCGCTGCAGAAACACTTTTAGCTTCAGAAAGATTATTAGATACAACAATGTTGAAGCAGGAAAGTAAGAGAAAGTTAGATTGACCTGCTTCGACAACCGAATTATATGAGATAATAGTCCTCGCATCCTTTCCTCCACACACTGAGAGCAAAAAATGCATGAGAAAAGGAAAAGTAAAAAGGTCAAGTACTTTAATGCAAACAATTCATATAAAGTTGACATCTCACCAAAGACAAGCACCGTTCAACATCATTGCTTATACCCTTTAAACCGACTTTCGCCACTGCCAGGTATGAAAAACAAACATATATAAGCTTCTTCTCTTCTTGGAGCATGATAGAAATAAAAAAGAAGTAGGTAAGGTAAAGTATGCGAACTGATTTCCGCAAGCTTTCTCTGCAGCGGACTTTTCTGCAGTATTAATCTTTCTTCCTCTTCGTGCACAAACTTCCGAGATGCTTCAGAAACACGGCCATCCTCCTTGGCCCCGGAGAATAATTGTTCTTCCTCTTCCTAAACAAAATGCAGACACAAAAATCAATTTGTTCTGTATTCCACATGCAGAACTCAAATTGAAAACTGAAGCTACTAGGAAACGTACCCTGAGATTAACACCACTAACTGCAGTGACATCATTGAGCTGTTCAATACTTTGATCCATAGAATTCGCAACTACTTTTTGCTTCTTGCTGCAAGTTGATGAATGCAAAACAACTACGATTATAATCTTACGTGGGGAACCATTATAGAAAATTGCTTTAAGTTGTAAGAATCTATATAAACGAAAAAGCAACTTAAGAAAGCTGTAAATAATTCTAAACCTGAGCAGCTTAATTACCTTGGTGGTGGCGGTGAAGAACCTAATGTATCAAGAGGTTTCTTCTGACCAACAGAAGGCTTTTTGAGTGGCGCCCTAGCATTAACTCCTGCTTGAGGCGTACCCAGTGGGCCACGCGAATTCATCTGATGGACACAAACAGTTTGTCAATGAGAAATATTGTCCAAAACTGAATTATAAAAAGGTAAAACGAGGAAAAGGATAGATGCCAAGGTTGAAAAAAATAACAAGGATAATATGCATGGGATTTTGAAGCACCATGGTTGCCTCAAGAGCTCAAAGAGAAGAAGCAAACAAAAAATCAAATGAAACTGACTTTTATTATGATAAATTTGCAATTACTAAAATCTCTCTTACTGCTGTGCTAGCGTCAAGTTGAGTTGTCATGGAAGGAGAAACAGAGCTTGCATGCGCCATGTTGCTAGGTGTGGATAAAACCATTCTAGAGGACTCCTCTAAATCCTCCTTCGAAGTCCCTGAGGCTGCATTACTCGGTTCAAAACTTTGATCAACTGATTCCAGCTTCACATGGGACGCTGATGATCCTTGACTAGGTGCAGAATTTAGAGGCAATGGTGAGCTGTTCTGGAAGTGCGATGTAGCGCCACCTTGAACCCTGTTGGGATCATTTACAGAAGTTGGCCTCTCGAACTTGGGCATAGTCATCATGTTTGAGGTAGACTGGGGAGGTCCTCCAAGACCAGTTGGCCCCATGGTCTGGTTATGTGATACATGTCTCATATGGGAATCATGAAGGTGTGGTCTCAACAAGGAACCAGAAGCGTTGGTGTTTGGACCCGGGAATGAGTGAAAACTACCGGAGCTTGTATACATAGGAAAAGAATTCGGTGGAAGCTGCATCTGGTGATGCGGATGTTTCGTAAGCCCCTGCACAGGAACTGAAGTGCCTGTTGAGGAAGCCATTTGGTTAAGGTGGACTACACGAGAATCAGACTGAGATTTTTGATTATTGATATCTGCGATTGAATAGATTTTAATCAGGTAATGGTATTGGCTCTAGCATATAAACATTAAGACATGTCTACGGAAAGTATAAAAGCTTAAAAATGCATCAGCGTATAATTTATACCTGTAGAAGGAGCTTGAGTTCCCATTTTTCCCGGGTTATAGTTCGCCTGAAAAAAAGGAGCACAAATTACAAATAAAGAAGTAGTTGACTTCTACTGCAGACTCACTCAATGCCACCCATGGTAAAATGCTTGAAAGTGCAGCAGTTTTAAATGCTTCAACGGTTTTAAACATATTTGTTTTGGAAATGGGAAATGAGCTATAAATTGTATCAGTTTGTATACTTGAACTAGTCCTACTCTGCAGATGTTAATTAAAACGTTCTCAAAACTCTGGAAGAATCAATGAATCATGTCCCATAAAAATATGTTAGGGAAAGTGTGAATGAGATGTGGGACAAACGCAAGTCAGTAAAACCAGATGATAAATCAACCCAGGCGCAAGTCGGATACCGTTAGAACAGAACAATGTAATCTGCTAAGATAGCATTTTGTGAAAAGGTAAATCTTGACTTTTTTATTTTAGTTTTGAAAATAGAGGAAAATCAGAGTTTTTCCTAATTCAATACGCTATCCAACTAATTTGTGAAGCCACTGCAGACAATGCAACTACGACCTTTATAAGGATTTTGCAAAAGAGGCCAAGAAGAGATTCATTGAACTCTTGACATTGAGGTAAAAACAATCCAGGTATACCAACCAAAATGTAACTGGAAAATTATAAACTAAAAAACTTCCTATCAACTGGAACTAGATTAAAAAAAAGACTAAAAGGTATGACATAAAAGT